CTTAATTTTCATTAAATCTTGAGTTTTTAAGGGGGCTATTTACATTTTTTTAGAAAAAAACTAGTGAGTAATTTAGCAAAAATCAAATAGAAGGTTATCTAAGTTTAAGATTCAATTGGATGAAATTAAAAGTTCAAGTAATATAATTTACAAAGTTTATGAGGAAAATTATTTTTTCTTCCACTTTTAAATACTCATGTGGAACTAATTTCAAACTTTCCATTATTAGAATATGTTGGAATCCAAAAATATGAAAAGGAAACCAACCAAGCACRCTTCCTCCACAGTCCACACACTATCTTCCAACTTTGAATTGTACACAAAACCCAAACTGAAAAAAAAAAACCCACTTTTTCAAATTTTCCAAGAAAGCCAAAAAAAAAAAAAAAGTACAAACTTTTGGGTTTGGCACATTTTTTTAGCATTAGGGTTTGCTTAATCCATTATATTGATTTTTTTATTTTGTGCAGACAACTCCAAGTGTTCTGTGCCCATAACCCACACTTTTTCAAAAGAGAGAAAAGAAAAAAAAAGGATAGCCAAAAAGATGCATATGATTAGCCATTTCTCCCATTTTCCTGACTCTGATTACCATTTCATCCATCTATCAACCATGATTGCCTATTTACTCTCTCAAATATGTTTACTGGGCAATCTTTTGTTATCTAATTAATGTTTGATATAATTTGTTATTTATTATACTTCGTGTATCTTACCATCTAAACCTAGTTTAATTGGTTAAGATATATATTGTCAATTAAAAGGTTGAATGTTCAAATTCTCAATTCTATGTGTCGTTGGACAAAAAAAATATATTAATTTTTTTAGTAAAAAGAAACAAAATGGTCATCATATTTGAGGGCCAACCATGAGATAATGTACAATCTAATATACAAATGTTGAAAAACTCTGTTGAATAGTTAATTAAATTACAAATTTAGTCTTTGACCTTTTAAGTTTGTGTGTCTTAATATGTTTGTGAACATTACAAAGTGTCTAATTGGTGTCTAAAATTTCAATTTTATGTTTAATAAAATTTTGAATTATTCTAATATCTTTTGAAATAATGAATCTATTAGACATAAAATTTTCGTAAATTTTAAAAAATGTTTAATGGACAAAAAATTGAAAGTTGAAAGGTCTATTAGACGCAAAATTATAATTTTAGGGAACTATTCGACATTTTCTAAAATTTAGGTACCTATTAGACACAAAATTGAAAGTTTAGAGATATACTAAACACTTTTTAAAATTCAGGGACTTATTAGATACAAACTTGAAAGTTGTAGACTAAATTTATAATTTAACCTAATTTAATTTCATGAATATTAAAATAAGTTACAGATATTAAAAAAAATTGATAATTATACTTGGTATATTATTCTCCAATTAACAATGTTGGGACTCTGGATTAATTTAATAGTGCGTGATTGGGTGAGATTTGCTCCGAACTTTTGGTCGAAGATATATCTCATAATCCCTCGGCTCTACTCAAGTTGGCTATTGATTTTTCTATTTAGAAAGTTGAATAACCAAATATTCATGTGGATTCAAAGAATATTGGAGCTTTATAACCTATAAAGTATAGGGTTTAGTTGTGAAAGGAAAACCTAACAAAACATAGCTTGAATTGAACTTTTGATTTGAATTTGAATTTCTAATGTCTACCGTAAAAGAAAATTTTTATTTTCCCTTTTCCCTTTTCCCCAACATAAATTCCCCTCCCAAAACGCTCTTTCTATACTATATTATCTAAGATCAAAACTAAGACCAACTTTATAATATATATTAAATATCACCCACAAAATTGTAATAAATCCATAAGACAGAACAAATTAAAATCAAGCATGCCCCAAACTTTTATAGCTCTTGCTAGGAAAAAAAAATTACAATTAAAGAAATATTGTTCAAGCATAGTTAGATCAAGAAACTTAATTATCTATATAGGTCAACAGCTTAGAGTAAATTTATTATTTTCAATATATTCTTAACACGCCATCTTTTACGCACATGATTGGACATCAATAAAGGCTCAACACGTGAATTTTTACATGAAATATGAAGAAAAAAACATTGCAAAACCTTGCTAAATGATATTAGATTATCACGCAAGATACTTAAATGTTTTAAGTTATTATTATCTTTCTCAAGTTCTAAACAAAATCCATTAACGAGTAATTAAAAAGAACCTTAAAGAAAAAATCTTTATATTATTTCATACTATTAACATCCCAAAAACAAATCTCTCTCTTTCATCATAGAATAGACTTATTACATTTTAGATCAAAATAAATTAAGGTATGAATTGTTGGTGGGCACTCTTTGAAAACTTTGGAGAGAAGATTAAAAAAATAAAAAGGCAAGATAGGGATATCAATATAAGATTTGTTATTGCAATTCAATAATAACAAAGTTGAAAAAGAAGACAAAACAAGGGAAAAAAAAGAATAAAAAATGGGCAAATGAAGGCTATTTAATTTTTTCCACCTTAAATATATAA